TCTTCGTTGCCCGAGCGATAAGGACCCAGATCCTATAGTACAAAGATTTTCATGCTGACGCGCCATTCCTAGCGCCTAATTAATGAGTTTGAATTTTTCCGGCGGCTAATGGAAAGACTGCCTGCGCAGCACGTAGTCAAAGGAACCGGCGCAGTATGAAAGATGAAAAAGCAGCATCAAGGAATGGAGGTTAATACGCGAAAGTTTCGCGGCTTAAGGATATGAAACTGATGAGGTCGTGACACGATTTCGTCAATTCACTATCCTCATCTCTCCTAGCTATTCCCGCCTTATCGAAAATTTCTTGTACGAAATAAGAATGGAGGTGGGACGCTTGAATGATCATCGAGAGAAACGTAGGCTTCGGCTGATGGAGATAAAGATTGCTCACTGTTTCTGACACGCATGTTCGAAATATAGAAGGCTGTATGAAAGATTCTCATCGGAGACGCAAAAGATAATGCTCTATCGATAGGATCGTATTTTCAGAACATTTATTCTGGAAATTACGCATAACTTAAAAATGTTACGTGTAATATTAACAACTATTAATATAATTGTATAATATACAATTATTAATATAATTGTAAATTAAAATATTTAATTAGAAAGATTTACAATACATATATGCATGATGGCAGAATTATGAAGAATTAAAGGCTACATAATTCTTTATATACATAATGCTCTATAAAATCCAAAAATATTTTTTATATAAAATTTATATCAGAAATGCAAAAAAATTTATATAAAATTATATCAATTTTATTGAACACTTTTTTACAAAAATTAAATTTGTATTACATCTAGAGAAAAAATATAGATCAAAAAGAAAGCAAATCTTGCAAATAAAAAAAAAGTTTCATTTCAATATCTAATTTGTATACTAATTGTAAGCCAACTGAAAAAAATTTTTACAGAGAAAGATTTTTATAATGTGTATGATAATATTATCAAATATATATTTGAATTTTTCCAAGATATATATATGAGGGAATAATATATATATAAAGAAAATAACACAGATACAAAAGGGAAACGGTCCATTAGATAAGAAAGAAAATAAACGAATAGGAGATAAATAAAGATTCAGGAGAAAGATACGGACAAAATGTGAAAGGTAAGGAGACCAGTTTAGACTTGTTGAAATGCATCGAGCATTCTGGCAAAAGTGCACGTTTTACGAACCGAATATGTTCAGCAGACATCGCAAACCTACAATTGTTAAGTAAATACTGCACGAACGCAGTCGCATCTTAATTATCAAAATTGGACTGCCGACCAGTAGCTTTTATCAATCTCGGAACTTACTTTGCGAGATAAAAGGAATTACCATTGGGAATTTTACAAGCTCCACTATATACTTGTCTTAAAATTAAAGAGAATAGAATCCAGAAACTTGTTAAACGTTTGAATCACCTTAACTTATTTAAAAAAGAATTAAATAATTAATAAAATTGCTCCGCGTAGTGGATTGAAATCACAGTAAATTGTCAATGATTTATATAATTATAAGTTAAAAATTTAATTAGAGTTATATGACACACACACACACACACACACAATGTATATTATTAGTTTATCATAAGATATTAAACTTTGAAGATCATTTATCTAAAATAAGTTATATCGCTTTTAAACGGTAAAAGTGCATAATGTAATTCTATTAATATATTTGATTGAATTATTATAGAGAAATCTAACTTTAAGAAAGTAAACACTTTTCCGTCAGTATAATCGTAACAAAGATATCGCTTGTATAAACGTAGAGACAAGATTTCGAAATTGATAGAACGAACAACAAGCCTGCAATCTTTCTGCGGATTACGTCCCTAGAGCGCAATTTGAAACATCGACACACCCCACCCTTCCATTCTCGCGTCTATCACGCCCGACCTAGTCGACGGCAATAAATCTAAACTTACGGTGTATCCTTGGATGCAAATTCCCTTACAGCTGTGTGGAAATTTCGCAATGCAATCGCCGTTTCTTTTCTCGCGCTGCACTTTTGACATTGTATATATGTATTTCTAAAAAAATATAAATTATCTCATAATCAATCTGTTAATTATTTATGTTATAAAAATAATCTCAATTGATATCAAGAATATATAACGGCATAAAATTGTACAGAATTACAACTTTAAAATTGATAGAATAAACGAGACAATTTGTGCGAGATTCATCACGCTGAATACACGCCTAGCGCACAATTTGAATCATCACCTCCTGCCTTTCATCCGCCTACGCAAAACCTTTTCTATCCACACGTCCATCGCGTTCGACTGGCTCGATGGCAATAAATCCAGACTTACTCTTTATCCTATCGAGGCTTTGCCCGCCAGGGTGCGAGCCTCTGGCATTGTCGCGGCTATATCACCGGCCAAAAAGGACGATGGAGGGACGGCGTGTCGCGCGACAGGACTCGACGGAGCCTGAATTAAATTCTGAGATTTATCGCGTCAATAACCGTACATTAATTTATGATTTTTTTGTGGTGAAGAACGTAAATCCACGCCGTACAAGCGAGCGTGCACGGCGCACGCCACCGTCGCGCCAATTGTTTCGCTCTACGTGGCGATCCGAACAGAGGAATGGGTATAAAAGAGAAACGCCACAGGCGAAGAGGGCAAACACGCTACATATAGAAACACACAACAGCTGGAAAACTATATTGATAGAACTGGCGCGGGGGTGGATTCGCGGTGTGAGCAACACAGCGAAGTGGGCAATAGCAGGACCCAGCGGCGTGTTCCACATCTAACTTATATTGACCACTCAACATTCCGCGCTCGTAAACTACGACATTCGCCGATCATTCGGACGCAAAAGCAATCGAAAACGGTACATTGCGGTTCCGAAAAGGCCTTTGAAGTCGTATACCGCGGAAGAAAGTATCGTCGATTAAAATTATCCATCCATATTTAATACTTGGGAAATGTGACGCTACTAAAAGATTAAAACTGTACTTAAATTGTATGTTGAACTGCGCGTTCAAAGCGCGCTTCGCCAGTTTACGATATATTTCCAATAAAGATTAATCGACTGAACCGACGTTGTTCGAAATTTACCTTCTATCTGTTTCATTTCACGATCTGTCTTGTGCCAAAGAAATATCGTCGAATTTGAAAAATAATTTAATTACTACTCTACACACATGTTTTGCACTAATGTCATCATACATTAATTTATTCTTTATCTTAACTCATTAGTGAGAGGTGTACATATAGTATGAATTTCTTCACACATTTTTCGCTTTCGCTTAGATACGTCCTTTGATCGATTAATCGTTTTAATTACGGGCGAAACCGCGACAGGTGTGCATTCAAATTGATGCACAGAGTGGAAGTACCGACCGACTGCAGCCTGAAACGCGCGTAATTCCGCCTGCCTTCTCTTTTATTCCCTTTTACGTCCTTTCCTTTTGACAACCCTTCTTTGAAACCTCCTCTTCCCAAACGAGGTCGTTCTTTTGCTTTTTTTCACCGCCTATTCTTCGCTTTCCGTCCATGTGTATCACGGCAAACGTCGTTTGCTAGACTTTTTAAACATAACACATTAAATTGCGGTTCCATGCATTATGCATTAAAGTGATTTATCTTCGTGAAACTAAACGTTTTAGTTTAGTAGGCAAATTAGACAACAAAAGAAAAAAATCGAAAATTTATATTTTAGCTCTAATAATATTTATTTTTTTTGTAACCTAATGTCTATTGAAACAGAAATTATTTAATTTAATACAATATCTTGATGATTTGCTTTCTTTTTCATTTTTTTGTTTTAATTATTTAATTAGAAATTATTATATATTTTGTTATAAATTATAAAATATACCTAGCATATAAATGTCTATATTCACTGGTATCACTATATTCAACGATTTTTTAATTACTTGCTACTTTTTTGCAATTCATCCATCACAAGTGAGAAGACAATAAAGGAGGAAGAGATCAGTATTGTCATCTTTACGTCGACAATTTTTTCTACGGACAATTAATTTCAAAGTGTCATATATCAAAGTTCCGCCTACGTCAATAGTTGTCTACATCAATCACGCGCGTAGTTGATAGTATCATAGATAACGCGTGACTGTAGTCTTTTAAAAATTTTCACTCGCAATCAAAAAAAGATTCAAGATAGCCGCCGGATAACAGAAGCGTGGTGAAAATCGCATGGCGCGGAATTTTATTCGCGGCGCACGCTGTCCCGTTCTATCGGTATATTTCCTCGCCTTAAGCTTTCACCGAAACGACTGCAGCTTCCAGGGGTTGGAGGGAAAGGAAAAGCATGTCGCGCGTTCCAGTATTCCTAATTTTGTCCGCCGGGCGCTACTGGAATCTTAATTATGAGGAAGAATTCGTCGGGGGCGGTCCGGCAATCCGGTCCCAATTCGCCCGACAATGTCGCTGGTACTTTTCCAGGGAATATGAGCGTTTCGAAATTCAACCGCGCTTGAAATAAATTGAGGTCTTTTGCCACGAGCCCCGTAATATTGCGATAATGACAGCATAGACAGGAGTGAATATTCTCGGTCTAGAAAATACTAAATATCGTTACATTCGTTAAGCGTGCATTATTTTAATGTTCATTATTTTCTAACAAATAGAGAGAAAAAAAGATGATTAGATACATCATATATATATATATATATATATATATATATATATATATATACCGTCCGTGAAATGACGTATTCCTGATGGAATATCAATTCATCGTGTTCTCATTTCTATATATATATATATATATATACGTATCATTAGATACATATATAAATAATCATTTAAATTACATAAAAATAACGCTAGAATATCAAATAAAGATTGAAATATAAGAGAATTCTTAACTGGATAATTCTTAATATAATCAGAATAAAATAAATAAATTTAGCTACTAAATTTATCTATCATAAGATTATAATTGAATCATGTTCTCATAGACAGATATTACCTATATCTATACTTTATTTTATCTTACGAGATATAATATTTATGTTACAGAGATTGCAGAGTCGTCAGAGATCCCCAAACTTTAAAATCCAAGGGATATGGGTTCGTTTCGTTCGTCAAAAAAGCGGTAAGCACACGATACTAATCTAATGATATTTTTTTGTAGCGGAATTACCGTAGCTGAGATAATAAACAGATTCTTTCACATGAGCCTTAGCTACGGTATTTATATTTTGCAAGATATCATATTTAATTATGCACACACAATTATTCATTAAAAATAGATTTTATCAAATATAATAACGTTCTAGCTATATATATAACATTTCCTTTTAATAATAAAAATATTTGTTTCTCTATTGAAAAAGTTTAATAAGATGAGTTCATTACCCAAGCATGTGTGTGTATGTATATATCAATCGAGATATATATATATATATCTTAATTATCAAAAATATACTGAATTATTAAAATATTCTGAATTAACTTCGACATCTTATAGATCTTACAAGAAAACTTTATGCATTATATTCTCTTGCGACATTTCGTTTTACCAAAATGTGGCTGCTTTCAAGAAATTCTGAAAATAGTTCGTTTTAGAGAAAGTCGCAGCATGCAAAGTGCGTTGATTAAAGGAACAACATCCGTAACTCCATATCTAAAAGATTACAGTCAAAAATAAAATGACAAATTATTCGGGTACTTGTGAGAAGAGAAGATAAGAGAGTTCTCGATGCACATTTTATGTAAATCAGACTTACGGTGGCATATAACGGCCAGGTAGATAATTCCCTTCCGAGCAGCATTTTAATTATCACATTTAACTCCGACTATTTCGAAAGTCGGAAAGAACGCGAATATTTTTTAACGACTGCGACTGCGACTACGAAATCACACCCGTCATTTCCGCAGTACGTCAAACTTGTGCGATGCTATCCTCCCGGTTTCCGCTGATCAAATAAGTGGGAGGGTCTTGACCGTCACGGTTTACAACATCATTTTTCGAGGCTAAATGGAGAGTGGCCGGAGTTTTATTATGACCCGCCAAAATCCGCGACGTAAATCACAGCGAAGTTAGATGTACGGCTGAGTAAAAGAAGGCTTTCCTCCGTTTATGGCGGGGTTATTCGTCGAGACGCCTGCCCCGAAGGTAGACCCTCTCTCGTTTCCCCTCTGTTTTAATGCCCTATCGATCTGGACCACCGCCGGCACCTGCCTCACACCCGCGGTATTACTATTGCCGAAGTATAAATTTCCCGAGTGTCTCCGTTAACCTCGAGGAACACGCGAAAATTTCGCCCTCTTCCCTTCCCGCCACTATCCCCATCCCCATCCCCCACCCCCTTCGCATTCACCGACCAGTCCCACCGCCACTATATCCTTCGACCGCCGGATACACGTACCTAAATCGCGAGCTCTGATCGCCCAGCATTCAACATTCTGGCTCTTTTAAAATGTACGAGGAAATACGAATTCTCAGGATTCTCGTTTTTCTTCGGAGGCGGTCTTGAGTTTCGAATGCTGCATTTAATAAATACCGAACTTTATAATGTCCCGGCGTCAGATTCCTGTATGTTTCGTGTATCTGTATACGATGTGTTTATCCAAGCGTGATAATGCGTTACTATTGGCAACAGTTTTCTCAATATCGTTTCACAAATAGATTCGTTATTTTCTCGATTTTGGTAAAGAAAAATATTTATTTTCTTTATTTTGCGAATTGATTTTGATGATTCGTATTTTTGTCTTCCGCTAAAATAACAGTAAATTAAGATTTGTAATTTTCAAGAGAAATATATGTTTAAGTGAAATATTATGTCAAAAACGGATACATATCAATGCTCAAATGCGTAGGCGGATCTATTATATAGTTCAAGAAAGAGTATGAGGGAGACAGTTTTGCCCCTGTTACTAGTTTGTGTAATGGTCAGTATACTTACACTATGCAAATTCTCAGGTTGCTCTAGTTACTGTCAACTTTTATTGCTTTACCATTTGATCGATAAATCGCGCGATATTATGACTCACGACCTTAAGCACACAAAAACCCACCACCGTGCATATGGATTTATGTATTCTTGGGTAAATAAACAAAAGCAATTAGAGCGTCATTACAAAGCATTGATTAGCATCTTCATGTGTGTTATTTTATTTACGCTTGCAGTCAAAATATCGGATGCATAACAACCACGTTGAACCAAACATTCCATTAAACCAACCATTTACATGGTTGTATACGCGTACAACCATGTAAATAAATAGTCTTTATTTTCTGACGCAATAGAAATGTGATATAAGGCAAATCGTTGTTTTAAAAATAGAATTTTTAAAACAACGTCATATTTTTATTTGGTCATAGAGTTATATAGTTTTTATTAAAAATTCTAAAATGTGAAAAGTTACCTAGATTGTACTCATAAACTAAATAAATAATTTTAAATGTTACTGCTTGTAGTAACGTGCAAAGAAATACTGCTTGTAGTTTTAATCTATTTATTCTTTCGAATATCAATATCAAATCAATTAATCGTACCAAGCGCGATTTATATCTCGCAATGGTTTGAAAATTGATTATGCAAACTAAAAAAATACTTCATATATGGTTGCTATAAAGCAAACTATACATATAAAATATTTATCTTATGCATAGCTTTTCATTTAAAAATATTAACTAGTCCAATTTACATATACCGCAATTTAATAATGATGCTATTTTTAGCCAAGGATATATACTAGAAATTGAATGACGAAATTTCAGAAATGATAAAATTCAGTGTAACAGTAATAATGTAAAAAGATGTGAGATTAAAGTCGATTGCAATTGTAGACTTGCTACATCGGACTTGTTTGATAAGAAAAGAAGTTTTGTTAAGGCCACGTAATCCGACGGCGCGTAATGCATGTATCGGTGTATGACTTAATAATGCGTGTAAAACAGCTGGGTGTCAGTGCGCCGCGCTCCCGTCTGTCTATAGCATCGCCGGCCGCGAAAGAAATTCGATTTGATGGGTGCTTGGACAGTTCGAAAGCGGAAAGCACACGGGGGTAGAGACGGCAGCGGCTAGTCGGTGGTGGTACTTCTGGTATCACGTAAACGCCCTGGTCACGCCGGATGGAAGGGAGCAAGCGGCGGTGGTTTTCAGGGGTTGCGGGTCGGAGAGACGTCAGGGATATCGACCGAAGTTTAGAATCGGCTTAGAACGGCGCATTCGGTCGCCTGGCTCTATCTAGGCTAACCGCGCGAATGCGCCGCATCACATATCTAGAATGGAAATTTGAATCGGAAATATTTTATCCAGCGGGGGAAAACGCGCGAATGGCCGCGGGGAATAAGGACGGTGCGAAAAGGAAGAAAGAGAGAACGAAAGAGAAAAGCGCAGAGAACCGCTGGCTGAAGTGTAGCCGTGGAAGAAAGTAACGGCTGGAGATGAGGCAAAGGCGAAGACGAGGACTCCCCAAATGGCGCAAATGGTTGAGAGTAGAGAGCGGCAACAAGCTAGAGAGAGATCGCTGCTGTGGAAGGTGGAAAGGCGCAGGGGAGAAGACTAGAGGGAGGACGAGATATGTATCCCTCCTCCGTCTCTCACTATGTACGTACACTCGAAGAGCTTTTCGAACAGTAAACTTTTTCGGGGAGTTCCTCGCGTCGAGAAAATTTTTAGGTCTCCATCCTCTCCGTGCCGTCCGCATACCATCGTCGCGATGTCGCCGCGAACGATGCAACCGATGACATGTGTCATATCGTATATATTTCCTTTATATGAGCGCCGCGCGTTGTGACTATCAGTCCGAACGGTGATTCAACACCTTAACTTTTTTTTTTTTTTACTGTGTTACGCAAATTTCGATAAAAATATTTTGTCTTGTTTTTCATACGATCACGTAATAGACGCGCATGGATAGCCAGCTTGAGTATCGCAATAGGATCTGTTTTGTTAGAACGTTTACAGAAATCGCGCGAATATATAGTTCGCGCCGCGCGGAAATCTGTGTATATCTATGGCGACGTTCTCTTCTCGCCAAAGGCGATTCCATCCCTTCGCCCAGAAGAGAATCTAACGTCGCGATGGAAAATGTCCCGGATCGCCCGGAGCGGTTACGCTCCGGGGGTAAAATCCAAATCCGGGGAATCAAAAGTGCAGTCGATCGAATAAATTTCAAAACGTATATTAAGTTGACCTGGATCGAGGGCCACGCTAACGGGATACCGCGGTTGAATCAACAATAAGTCGCGGATAATATTGACGTCAATATACCTGTTGGTTTTATCCGCGGTTTTGCGTGTGAATGCGGCCCTATCCTCCTGCATCTCGCGTGAATGCCGTCGTAGTTCTTACGACACCTCGCAATTGTTGTTATAGACGTTGCGAGAGACAATAAAGGAGCTTTCGCAGAGGAACTGCACGGAACATCGCGTATTTTCATTCGCCTTTCAATAAAATTCCTTAGAAGCATTCCGTAATACGTAAATACACACACCAACTTCCTATCTTATATAATTTTCTAAATTATTACCTATTTTAGAATTACGTTAATTATATGATGCGAATTTTATGCAATTTATCAATTATCTACTTCGTTCTTACATTTTGTTCTATATTGCAAATTCTTTTTGTATATTTTAGCATATATAGAGCATTGCAATGTAAGAATTTCACAAAAATTAACTGTAACTGCGTTTATATGCATTTATATGCATACATTCGATAAAACGGTATTATAAAATAAAATAAACGCGATATACATATACAAAAATATCTTATATTTCCATCTAAATGCTCTTTGCAAGAGCTTCTTTGACTGTAAAAATTGGATTAATGAATGATACAATAACATAAAAACCGAATAAAATTGTATAAAATTCAATGTAGGTGTTAGGTAAAGCTATGAAAAAGAATATTCCGTTATAAAATTAAAAAGCAACATTAAATTAAAAAATGGAAAAATATAAGATCAAAAAAAATAAACGCAAGATTTAATAAAATTAATATTAAAATTTATGCAACTTTCTTATGTTTAATAATTAATGAAATTGCCCACTTTTTTTTACTTTTAGTGTATAAACTTTGCCTTTATAATTTGTCGTAGAAAATGTTGATTTTCTTTGTTATTGTCTTTTTCAGGAAGCAGAAAGCGCCATCGGTAACATGAACGGCCAATGGCTTGGTGGCAGAAGTATTCGGACAAATTGGGCCACTCGCAAACCTCCCGCACCTAAATCCGAAGGTAAGTACCTTCGTATTCCCATGACCGAGCGTTTTGTTGCATACAAGAGTGTAGCATAATGCATGATTACTATCGTGATAAATGGTTTCCTTGGTACAGAACAGGTGAAAGTATTCAATTGTCCTTACAAACGAACGCAAGCGCAAATCAATGTGTATTACACACGTTACGCAATCTTTCATCTAAAACGAGTAGGTTTCACGGTAGATTTCTTATTTTATCGCCTCATTTTCTGTAATTTTATAGTAGTTAGAGAATGAAAAATATGGTATAGCGAGATCCATAATTATTATGAATAGATATTATCAATGAGCAAAATGCAGAAATCGCGAGAACGACTCTACGACTTTGTGAGAATTTCCAACACTCTTCTAAAAAAAAAAAGTATGTTAAGTACAAGTTTTTGATGGCAAAAGCTGGAAGTAATTTTGACAAGCCTAGCGGGGATAGAATACCGTAACGATGCAATTTCGGAAAAGAAAATCAAAGGGCCGATACATATTTTCAAGTACTCCGTCAAAGCGTTATATTTACGTCCACGGTATGCCCCGTCATGAATATCAAACCGGTGCTGCTAAATTAAATATCGCGTTCGTCGGTCGCGAATGCGGAAATTTCGCCGACGCAACCGGAATTCGATTAGGTCGGCGAAATTCTACCGCGCACAAATGGATGCGCACGGTCGCGTTATTCTGTGGAGTTCGAAAGGTCCGCCTCTTGTGCAACACTCGGTGAGTCGTTCGTTCGCACAGAAAGCTTTCACTGTGCCATTCAGGAAAGCTCGAAACGGCTTTACCACGAGCGGTTACTCTGCAAAGCGGACTCTACAAAGGCAACGCTAGATGTTCGAGTGTTTGTTAATCGATACCTTGAGATGGACTCAAGAGCCTTTTTTCAATGGACCGAAGGCGGAGGAAGGAAGAACTTCTACTCGCGTCGGACTATCATGTTCCCAGAGTACTGAGATTGATTTCAAAGCCCGGCAAGCGACAGTATGGACCCTGTGAAAATTTCCCGTAGCGCGATGGGGATCAACAAATATTTTCTTCTCTCTCTTTTCGAAAATGCGTTTCTTAGCGTTAAGTCGTAAATCCTACTTTGAAACGTACCAAATTTAGATGACCAAATACAACTTTAACAAAAGAGAATTGGAACTATCAATGAATATATATAATTTATGAAATATTCTGAGATATAATAATAAGAATATATTTAAACTCTCTAAAAAATTATAATATTATATATTTTTTAATCAAATATCTCCGACAAAATATTTTAATTGCAAAAAAAAAATGGACTGTCTTTGCTTATGCAGCATCATTGTGGCCAATGAATGAGTTGAAACGTTTCCTTTCGCGATAGTAATTACTTGTATAATTAGGATGGTTTGAGACAACGGCAAGATGAAAGCCTTGGCTCTCTTAGTAGGGATAGTAAGAATCCAATTGAAGTTATGAACTAAACGCATAATGAGCTTGGAGGTAGCACACTCCGAGACCCCAAGTAAGTATTATTATATTATCATAAGCGGCTCTTCGTCGCGCGGAGTCGAGGACTCCATCGTCCATCCTCGAGAGTCATCCCCGACCCCTCGGCTAACTAATTTCATTCCGCAAGTCTTTAATTAGTATTCGTCGCGAGGCGTCCAAACTTTTTCACTAGACGAGGGCTTGCAAACTCGACCTACCCGGATTGTTCACCCGTATTTGCATAGGCCAAATTCGCAGAAAGTACTTTCTTGCTAGCCACCTTTACGCGGTTAATATTCCTCGACGAACGTACCCTAAATTTCTCATAAGCGAAAATAATGATCTCGAAGAAATCCACCTTCTTCGTCTTCTTCTCCGCCGTAAACATTCAACGCTTGTGACAGTTTCCGAATGCAAATATACGTTGCTGCGATTAAAAACGCGACCACGTGTGGAGAAGTAATTTTAATTTATAACTTTTACTCTCTTCTCTAACTTTGTTACCAAATCTATATATCTGAGGTTTCGCAATAAAATCCTGCATTTCGCTCAGTTTGCTCTGCATTTTAATCTGCATTTTAGCGCCTCATTTTCTATAACCAGCACACACCAACGTAATTTAAAAATTCATTTTTATTTCGACCTTCAAACTCTTGCACAATATTAAGGTTTAGAAATTCGTGATAAAAGCAAATTTCTAATTAAGTTAATCTCTATACTTCTTTTAATTAAATTAGTATAGAAGACAAAAGAATATCTCTCGATTATCTTATTACACGAATAATTCTACTTTCATTTAAAGCAATAAAATTATGCATACACGTAAAAAACGTGCACGTATTTTAAATCGCTCAAACATTTCCATATATTTGTAAGAAAATTGCACAAACGCAAGTAAATATTATGTAATAAAAATATCTGATTTAATCCACTCTCTTGAGCTCAGCTTCATTTTTTCCAGCAATCACCATCTACGATTTTAATGATTGTTTAAGGTAATATTTTAGTTTCGATTCACCAAATTGGATTTTAAATTTAATTATTAAAACTTTCTACTCCTTAACGCGTTTAAAACTCTTTTCATTTTAATTACTTTTTAATTAGTTTTAATTAGTTATAATTTTTTTGATGAGTAGTTTACGTATATCAAGTAAAGAAATACTATGTTAAGTACATTATCCACGTGAAAATATATAAAATTTTATTGGCAAACTTACGAGTTCTAACAAAAGTCTCAAGCTTCGAGTGAACAACTTGGCACGCTTCAGGCAAATTCTTGCATTATATCGATAGCCAATCGTGCTCAACTGAGTACATGTACTCAGGTATATTTGCGACATCGATTTACACACTTCAAAGTCACCATTTTGTATAATATCGCCTACCTGCACCGTAGCATGGAATAGTAACTTTTTCCAACTGCTTCACAAAAGTTAATAACATGCAAAGTGGCATAACTCTTGCAATACATAACCAATTCTGTATATAAAAAAAACATTTGTAAATTTTAAAACGAAATAATTGATAGATAAATTTGTCATGCTTTAAAATATACGATTATACAAGAATACAGAAAGAAAATGTTATTTAGTTTGTTTAGTGTGTATGTTCGTATATATATACTCTTAACTGCATATTTTTATTAATTAGTGAACATTCTTAGGCATATGTATCAACTTATATATTTAAACCCCAAGCAATCTTTTATTTAATATGAAACTTTTTGATATAATATAGCGATAACTTGCAATATATTTTCTCGATGCAAGTTAATAGAAATATAATATAAATTTGATTACAATATATTACTCTTGACAAGTTACTACATTAAAAAACGCGATTTTTTGAGGGTTATTAAAGTATTCTGCGTGGAATTTTTCGCAAAAGGACTTTTACGCCTATAGTACGTACCTACAACCTAAAAATCTTAGATAAAAGAGCTTTATATTTTTTGGAAAAAAGTTACTTGCGAAGAAGATGCATATATCCATAAGCACGACATAATATTATGACGTAGAAAAATATCTCGACGGCATTCTGCAAAATTATAAAATAAACCATTTCTTCAAATAAAAAAAACTGTAGCTAAGTAAAGAACATGTTGTATCCCTTATTATTCTGATGTAAAGTCATATTCTGATGGCATGAAAAGTATTTTATGAATATTTTTTTAAATAATTATGAAGTAACCTGAATAATATTGTTAAAACAAAAAATACACACAATGTCATATGTTATATTGACACTTCTTGATTTTATCTAAAAGAAATAACTAACTTTTTAATTTTTGGTTAATAAATTGCTATAATCAATATATATTATTAATATTTTTATGTCACATTTCACAAAAATTTTGTATATTTTTTTTTTTTAAACTACAAAAATATTATTTTTTCTTTATTGTACGATTGCAAACTACGCGTTCTTTATATATCGCGGGTAAAAAAATCATTAATATAAAGATTATAACAATAAAATCACGTTTAATTAAACAACCCTCTTTTTCGTGCATCATATTTTATGACGAATATCAAGCGACGCGTATACAATTTACCGTAATACATACCGGAATATGAAGCGAACAATGCGTAAACTTGCCCATCTGCGATAAAATATGATATCAAAAGCTTAGACGGGTAAATAAGTTTGAGCGAAGGATAAAATAAAAACAACGCCGCGGAAAATATCGGGAGGCATGAAGCCGAACTACAACGCACCCACGGCGAAACGCATTCAAAGAAAACAGAAGTCCCGAGTTCAAGTTTATCGGCTAGCGTTTTACTCGGTTGAATTACACGGTGAAGTTTATATGGCATCGTACTTTTCTACGCTTCACTTCGATATCTTTCCAACAACATCTCAGTTGGTTGTGCCAACTCTCATCTGCAAACCCAAAACGCGATGCACCATAACCACCGTGCCAAAGCTGATCTGCATACCCGAAAGGACGAAACGAGATGACGTTACGGCGACTGTGTATCAAAGCTTGGATTATATATACTTCGACAAACATCGACAAGGCAGCTATCACGCGAATAAACAAACAAAATCGACACAATTCATTTTGCATCGCACGCGCGAATATGGACACGATACGTTAGGAAGAGGACTGCTTGAGTTACTGTCGTATTTACCTTGTAAATGAAAAGCAAAGTACAGTAGCAAGGATCTAGTGTGGGTCTAATATCAATTCTTGGTTATAATATCATAGATGAAAACGAAAAAACGAAAAGTAAGTTAGAGAACAGTTGGGTCGAGCCAGCATTTAATTTGACTGAGTCCCAAAGTTACCCGGCAACTGGGCCAATATTTTATAGCCATGGCAATTAGATAATTTTGCGGTCAGGCAAAAATATGATTGCTGGCGTGTGAAAGGACAAACTTGGGCGCGGGTTAATGTCGAAAGTTTGTATCGCCGCCGACGTCGGATCGTACGTAGTCGAACCTTGCAAAGGAACTGAACGAAACGATGACGTACATATATTATTTTGGTGACATGATATATCACGATAAATGTGATATTCGTATACA